TGAGCACGGTTGTGGTCTGTGTTTGGCCCCTTCTGTAAAGCACATCCTCGCGCTGCTGAGGGTGGGGGTCAGGCAAAGAGGGCTCATGAGTTCTACCATCTCGGCCTGGGGGACCTTGAGTGCCCTCCCAATTCCCTGGGGCTGCTTTGCCAACTGCACAGGAGGACCACATGACCCTGGACCCCGTTCCAGCTCTGGAGCGAGGATTTCATTATTCCAGAAACTTCTCTTTATCCTCTTAGCAAGGTGGGCTTGTGGGCATGTCCACAAGCTGCAGACAGAAGCAAGATCCGGGGAGCGCTGTGACAGCGGCCTCCTGGCTGCTCCTGATGCACAAGGGGCTCATCTCCTGACTGGCATTTTCTCCGGCTGCCCCCACGCCTAGAATTCTCTCTTCACTTCCACCTCCTGGCTTCCCTGGCCTTCCGTACCAGCAGAAGCCCGCCCTCTACACGGAGCCTTCCCAGATGCCCTCTGTTAGTTATCCTCAGTTTATCATGTAATGGCTTGTTTGTACGTCCCTGTCCCCATATTGTGCCCCCCTTAGACTGGGAGCTCCCTAAAAGTGAGGATCGACTTTGCGTCCCCAGGCTTGGCACAATGCCTGGCACGTAGTGGGTGCTTATTGACTCAAAGGCACACCTCCAGGTAAGTAACTCCCTGGGGACCCCAGACCACTTTGTAGAACAAGTGGATTCTTGTAGGATTGAACTGGCCAGTCTCATCCAACTCTGAGCTTCCATGACTCCATGGTTCTGTGATAAGACCCTCTCCATACTTCACATTCCAACTAAATGGGACTGCTCTTCATTTCCAGTTATCAGTTCATCTCCTGCCTCCAAGCCTTTGCTCATGCTGTGTCCCATTCCAGGAATGACACCCCACCACAAATACACACGCCTCACTGAAGTCTCTCCCTTCCTTCAAGGCCCAACTCAGGGCTTAACACAGCTATAAAATGTCCCCTTTACTCCCAAATGAAAATTATCTCTCCTTTCTTGCATATCTCAGAGGACTTTGTCCTGAGGTCTCCTTTGTATCATCATTTCTTGAGTCTTTCTCAACACTGGACTATAAACAATTTGAGAGCCGAGTCTGTGGGCTCACATGAGTCTGACATAATGAACTTGGAGTCAGAAAGATTTGGGCTCAAATCCAACCTCAAATACTTCCTAGCCGTGTGCCCCTGAGCAAGTCCTTTCACCGCTGTGTGCCTCAGTTTCCTCATCTATAAAATAAGGATTGTAATAGCACCTGCCCCCAGGATTATTGTGAGATACTGTGTAGAAGGCATTGTGTGAGCCTTCATACGTTCTAGAAATGGCTGCTATCCAGAGCTTGCACACAATAGGTGTTTAATTAAGTTCTTGTTGAACTGAAGTAGACTTATTTATCTGAGAATACTACCCCAGCTCTAATTCCACAGAAAATTGAGCAGACAGACATGGGTTTTGATGCAACAGAAATTCCTATTAGACACCAGAAGGAACCCATGAGTTCCCTCTGTATGCCAGGGTGCAGAGGGAGAACCAGAGGTCTCTGTGCCTGAGGAACATGATGTTACAGCTAACAGTGGTAGATGACTTGAAAGCCCTTTGCCCAGGGCTTTATGCACATCATTTCATCGGCACCTGGACAACTTTGTGAGGTAGATGCTTTCATTATCCCTTTTACAGAAGAAGAAACTGATTTTCAGGAAGGTAGAATGACTTGACCAAGGTCACACAGTAAATGTCTGAGGTGGGATTTGAATCTAGGCTTTTCTGCTACAGGACCAACATTCTATTTACTTCTTCATACTATCTCTTAAAAGCAACCCTTTGCCTCAGATAATTTTACTTAGACCTGTGCTCCGGCAGGTGCTGGAACAGGGGGTCTCCTAAATGTCCTTGGGTTGGGATCTGGGGATGGCCTCCAAGAAGACTTTCCTTAGGGGCTGAGTGGGCCTGGAGATCCTTCCAAGGCGTTGACAGTGTCCCAATGCAATAGAATGGTATGGCAGTTTCCTGCCCCGTGCAGAGCTCTGTCCTAAGCTCTGGGGATACAGACGCTCCAGGGAGACAGTCCCAGCTCTCCTGGAGCTCATACTTAGGGGAGGTAACATATGTAGGAGGATTCACCTTCATGGCCAATGGAAAGACCCAGAGGTCCTTAGGGTCCCGAGGTCACAGAGGCAGGACAGATGGTAAGGCACCATGTCCCTTGGAAAGCAGTGTTTGGGAGATGGTACTTTAACCAATGGTTGTTGGGAAGTGAGCCCAAGGGCTGGTGTGGAGAGGGGCTCTGGGTGTTCTCCAGCAGAAGCAGGTGCAGGGGATTGAGCAAGCAGCCACGCTCAGGAGTCCCAAAAGATGGCATCAAGAGTTGTGGCCCAAACGTCCCCTAAGGCTGAGGCCGCCTCTCTGTGATTCCTTGTTTTTTTCAGACACCCAGACCATCCATCCTCTCCTACTCCCTCTTAAACTCCTTTATCCAACTTCAGAGCACTTATCCATTTAATTAGGTTTCCTCCTTGTAAGAAGACTAATTTCTCTCATCTCACTAAGAACAAGGCTGTCAAAACTCATTAAAAAGTCATCCATTCTTCCCAAAGCCTTGCTGAGGAGCAAGGAGGAAATTAGAAGACTGAGCAGGTGCTGAATTCCTGATTTCTATTGAATGAATATATCCCCTTTACACTATCCATCTCATCAAATATCGTTTCTTGTTTCTTCCAGAAAGGCGAAGGCTCGTGGATTTCTGCAGTGTAGGGGAAGGCCTGGTACTCCTCCAGGCACCTGGCCACAGAAAGAACCCAATTTCAAGGCATCAGGGGAGAGATGACAGAGAGAGGGGCAGCCGGGGGTCCTCCTCCCCCTCAGCCCATGGCCAAGCCTCTGTGAGTGTACTGCAAACCTATGAGTGCTTGAGAAAGACCAGCTGCCATTGCAGATGACTGAGCATGTGCCGGGGCAGGCAGAAGTACATTTTGACAGTGGGGTGAGTGGGTGGGGTCACAGGGCACACAACAAAGAGGGAAATCCCAGGAAGGAAGAGCCTGGGCACAGGGGCTGTGGGAAAGAGGGAAGGAACAAAAGAGAAGCTTCTGATAAGGGAACATCTCCCGCAGACCGTCCCTCCTTCCCTTTCGCCAAAGTTTTCTGCTCTTCCCCACCCCAGGTAAAGGAAAGAAATGCTTTGCATGTAGCAGACCTTTGACAAGTGCTTGTTGAATAGTATCCAAGACCTGGGTTCAAATCCTGGCTGGGGAGCCTTGAACAGGCCACTGCCTTTTTGGCCTGGGTGGTTGCCCTCAATCTGTGTTCTGTGGCTTGAATTGAAGCCAGCCCCAGAGAAGTGGGGAAGAGCAGTCTCCCAGCGGCTCTGCTTGGGTCGGTGTGGGAACAGGGCAGGTGAGGAGAGACTTTGGCCTCAGCCCAGCTTCACCCCCAGGGGATGGAAATGTTGCCATCCCTTGTCCTCCCGTCATGCCAGGACAAAGCATAGGCCCCAGGATCATGGGATCCCAGATGACGAGTAGGTAGGAAGACGGAAGGAGAAGGAGGAGGAGGTGGCAAGGTAGCACAGTGGAAATTGCCCAGGCCTTGAGTGAGAGGATCTGAGTTCAAATCTTGCCTCTGAGGCTTACCAGCTCTAACTGAGGGCGAGTCATCTGAGAGAGCTGGATGAGCTAGTCCCCAAGGTCTCCTCCAGCTTTGGCCCTGCGCTCCTCTAATCCTTCCACGAGCCTCAGTTTCTCCTCTGTGACATTGGGGGTTGGACCATGTCAACTCTCAGGTGCTGGGGTCAGGGTTCATCTCACTGGGGCCCAGGTAACCCAAGAATGCCTGAGTGGGAGTGAGGTCTCTGGCTCTGGGGGTTCTCCATGCAGTTGGCCTGCCTTCAGGTGGAAAGACCAGGTGGTACAGTGGGTAGCCAGCTGGCCTTGGAGCTAAAGTATTTTTGTCCATGTCCAGGTTCTGCTCCTTCCTGCCTGCGAGACCCCTGGAAAGTCACCTAACCTCTCTGTGTCTCAGTTTCCTCATCTGTAAAATGAGGCAAATAGACTGGATGAACAGCCCTGGGTCTGTGAAGTCTGAGACCCACAGGGAGATCCTTCAGAGGTGGGCTTTCTGGCATGTTCGGAAGGAGCCTGTTTCCAGGTCCAGCCTGGCTCCCTGTGTGGAGAGTGGCTGACGCTGCTCTGCTCTGGCCTGTACGAGAGCTCTGTCTACTGTAGCATCCCGCTACCGGCCGCCCCCCAGCCACACTGACCCTGCCAGCTGTCCTGTGGCCCTGCCAGCTTGGCTCCCAGCCGGAGCTCAGCACCTCTCTCTGTCTCTCTCTCCATCTCTGTGTCTCTCTGTGTCTCTGCTCTCTGCCTGCCTGCCTGTCTGCCTGTCTGTTCCTGTCTCTGTCTGCCTGTCTGCCTGTCTGCCTAATCTGTCTGTCTGTCTCTGTCTCTCTGTCTGCCTGCCTCTCTGTCTGTCTGTCTGTCTCTGTCTCTGTATGTCTGTTTCTCTGGGTGTGTGTATGTGTGTGTGTCTCTGTCTCTGTAGCTCACGCCTGTTTCCTGTTTCTAGAAAGAAGCCTGCTCAGAGTTGATGAGTTCTACTGCATAAGCCCACTGTCGTGACTTGGGGGGTGACAGGATGTTCAGATCTAATCTTCAGAAGAGGAAATCATCAGCTGTCTGAGCTCAGCTCTTTTTTAAAGGCACACACACACACACATACACACACATACATACATATATACACACACACGCACATGTATACACACACACACACACACACACACACACACACAAACACACACACACACACACACACACACACACACTGCTGGGAAACCAGGGCAGATTGGAGAGCTGGGTGGGGAGAGAGGGACACAGAGCTGACTTTCCCAGCAAGCCACAAGCTCAGAGGCTCTGTCTCCTCCCACCGGGCCTTCCCTGGGCCACAGGACATTGGTTGGGCTTCCTTCCTCCTTGCTCAAAATGAAAGGGCTTGAGAAACCTGGGTCTGCCCATGTTGGTCGGCTGGCTCCCCTGCAGAAAAGACCGACTTCATTAGAGCTCAACGTAGAAATGCTCACAGAGGAGGCTATTGGGGGGAGGGGAATCTCCCAGATCTCTGGCTGTAAATCTGAAAGCCGAATCATGGATCCCCAAAGAGGAAGCCAAGGCTGAGCCACTATGAAGAGGCTGCTTGGTGGGGGAGTGGGAACCCTCTGACTGACTTGTTTTGCAAGACCGGAAAAGGAGGGTGCATAGTGTAATCCCCCTGAACTCTTCCGAAAAGCCCTGGAGTTTCTGGTCACGGGCTCAGGAAGGATTCCAGCAGCTGCTTTCTAAGCCTCTGTCCTCAGTGGCTTTTGGACTCTGACCAGCCTGACCAGCAGGACCGCATCTCTGCCAGCCCCAAGTCTGAAGTCCAAGGAGGTCTTACTGTCCCCCAAAGGCCAGGAAGCAAGGTGCTGGTTTGAGAGTGGCCTGTCTTAGCCCCAGGGAGAAAGTGGGTCTGCCCTGGGTTGTCTCTTCCTGGGAAACGTGTGTGTGCATGTATGTATGTACATACATATGCATGCATACATGCATGTGCGTATAAATTGTGTAAATGTGTGTGCATACATGCATGTATGTGAATGTATATGTGTGTGCATGCATGGATGTGTGTGTTTGCATTGTTTGGTATGTGTGAATGTATGTGTGCGTATGCATGTATGCATGTGCGTACGAATGTGTGTGTGTATGCCCTGCCTTCCCTCAGTTCTTGGTGAACTGAAAAGTGTGGTTGATGTAGGTCCACAGCTCCTGTCCTGGGATGAAGAGCTCCCGGCAAATCCTCCTTGTGGCTTCCCTCCTCTTCCTCTTCTGCTGTCCCATCTGGTCCTCTTCGGCTCCCAGGAACCCAACCGGCCCACTCCTCTCGGATGGACATGTGTGTATAGGTAGGTCGTGGTGGTGAGGGCAGGTGCTCTGTGTGATTTTTTTTTGTGCACATGCTAAGCTTTATGAAACACTTCTGGCCCCTTCCTGGACTCCTGTCAGCACCTGCAGGCACCAGAAGAGAAGGCACTTGGAGGCTCAGCACAAGACTCCAGGGGCATCTGGCAGTGGCCAGAGGGTGCTAGCCAGGACATCCAAGCAGCAGGGGACCATGGACATACAGCTGGGGAGGACTTCTGAGTCACAACGTCCTGTGCCCACCCCCGCCTCATTTTACAGAGAAGGAAACTGAGGCCCAAAGGGGGAACTTGAGAGGCACCATCCCATAACAGACATGGAGTCAGCAAGACCTGGTTAAATCCTGCCTCTTAGCCATATGATGACCCTAGGCAAGTCACTTCGCCTTCAGAGCCTCAGTTTCCTCATCCATAAAGTGAGAGGGGTCCTCTAAGGTCCCTGTCAGTCCTAGATCCGAGTCTGTAGAACCACTTTCAAATCCCGTCGCTTTCACTTATTGGCTACGTGATAAAGTACAGGTCACTCACGCTTTTTTAGCCTCAGTTTCCTCTTCTGTAAAATAGGCACAGCAACACCCTACCAAACTTCCCACATTGTTATAGAGTGTCTGGTGGCCTCAGAGCTGTATGAGTGGACGTCTGCTTGGGTACGCTTCTAATGGATCCAGAGCCCAAAGAGCTGCCCTTGAGAAGGTGTCGGGAGCAGGGAGATTCTTCCAACTGGAAGGTGTCAGTGGGGGGCAGGTGGGATCTAAAGGGGTGAGGAGGTGCCCGGGGGGGCTAGGCAGGGTCTGGGGCTTATCTCTATCCCATGTGATACCACAAAAATGGCAACAAGGAAGGAGAGGCAGCTTGGGGCCTGCAGCTGCAATGAGGGATGGTAGATGGGTCCATCACTACTATTCTCTGGGGACAACAGGGGACTACAGGGTCCCCTGGAGCCAGCTACGACCCGGAGGTATGGGTGATCTGTCCCTCTCACTTCTGAGATCTGGCCCTTCAGTGAAATGCTGCACTCCCCTCACAGAGTGTTAAAGTAATACCAGGCCACATGCCTCTCTGCTCGGCTTCACAGTCATTCAGCAGGACCCACAAAGACACATGGTCCACAGCTAGTCAGGTCCAGGGAGGGAGAGATATGTCTGCCTTTGTACCTCCCCCCATCCCGTGTTTATGATTTTTAGATTCAATCGTATTTTGTTTTCAGTTTCAAATTCTCTCTCTCCCTCCTCTCCTTCCCCCACCCATTAAGAAGGTAAGAAAAACAAAACCCGTTACAAATATGCGTAGTCATGCAACATTTTCCTATGTTGGCCATGTCCCAAAATAAAAGAAAAAGAAAGAAAAGAAAAGAAATATGCCTCAACCTGCCCTCTGAGATCATCAGTTGGGTCTCTCTGAGGAGTGCTTTTCATCATGAGTCCTTTGGAATTGTGGTCGATCATCATAATGATCAGAGTAGTGAGGTCTCTCACAATTGATCGCCATTGCAATGTTGCTGTCAGGTGTACAGCGTTCCTTTGGTTCTGCTGGCTTGGCTCTGCATCAGTTCATAGAAATCTTTCCAATTCTTTCTGAAACCATCCCCTTCATCATTTCTCAGAGCCCAGTAATATTCCATCACATTTATTTACCATAACTTACTTGTCCAGCCATTCCCCAATTCGTGAGCATTCCTTAATTCTTTGCCACCACTTTAAAGAACTACTATAAATATTTTTGTATATAAAAATCCTTTTCTTTAATCTCCTTGGGATACAGACCTAGTAGTGATATTACTAGGTCAGAGGATATGCACAGTTGTATAGCCCTTTGAGCATAGCTCCAAATTGTTCTCCGGAATAATTGGAATAGCTCACAACCCCACCAACGGTACATTAGTGTCCCTATTTTTCCACATCCCCTCCAGAATTTTCCATTTTCCTTTTCTGTCATGTTAACCAATGTGATGAGTGTGAGGTGGTACTTCAGCATTGTTTTAATTTGCATTTCTCTAATTGTTAGTGATTTCAACTGTTTTTTAATATGGCTATTAATAGCTTGGATTTCTGCCTCAGAAAAATGCCTATTCATATCCTTTGACCATTTGTCACTTGGAGAATGGGTCTTATTCTTATAAATTTGACTCAGTTCCTTTAACATCTTAGAAATGAGATGTTTATCAGAGAAATTTGCTGCAAATATTTTTCCCAATTTCCTGATTCTCATTTTAGTGCATTGATCTTGTTTGTACAAAAACTTTTTAATTTTGTGTAATCAAAATAATCCATTTTACCTCCTGTGAACTCCACCCCTATCCATAGATCTGTCAGGTAATTTCTTCCATGCTCCTTTTATTTACCTGCGATGTCACTCTGTATGTTTAAATCACACACACTTTTCGGACTCACGTTGGTATATGGTGGGAGATGTGGATCTGTACCCAGTTTCTGACAAATAGCGCGCTCTGGCCCCAGTGGCTTGGATCTTTGGGTTTGTCAAACATTAGGTGACTGCAGTCATTTGCTTCTATATGTTGTGCCCCTCATCTATTCCATTGATCAAGCTTTCTATTTCTTACCCAGTACCAACTGTTCCAATGGTTATAGCTCTATAGCGTAGTTTAAGATTTGATACTAAAACTTGTTTTCACATGTAATTGAAGGGGAAATTTTATGTGTGTGTGTGTGTGTGTGTGTGTGTGTGTGTGTGTGTATAAAAATGTGGTACTGTGAGGCTGCTTTCCTTCCTGTTTTTTTTCATTGATTCCCTTGATATTCTTTTTTTTTCTCCCCACATTAGCCATGTTGCAAAAACCCCTTGATAATTTTGGCCTTTTGTTCTTCCAGATGAATTTTGTTGTTATTTTTGATGGTTCTATAAAGTACTTCTTTGATAGTTTGATCGGTGTGGCACTGGATAAGTAAATTCATTTGAGGAGTATTGGCATGTTGATTATGTTGGCTCAGCCTACCTATAGGCTCTAATGGTTTAGATCTGTCTTTATTTAGGGGAAAAGCGTTTGGCAATTGTGTTCATGTAGTTACTGTGTACATGTTGGCAAGCAGACTCCCAATCATTTTTCACTATCTGCCATTATTTCCAATGGAATCTCTCTTTCAATCTCTTCTCGCTGGGCTTTGTTGCTAACATATGGAAATGTGGATGATTTATGTGGACTTATTTTATATCTGGCAACATTGCTGAAGCTGTTCGTTGTTTCACTAGTTTTTTGCTGATTCTCTAGGGTTCTCTGAGTATAGTGTCATGTCATCTGCAAAAAGTGATAGTTTTGTTTTCTCATTGCCTATTTTTATTCCTTCAATTTCTCTTTTTTCTTGTATTTTTTGCTACCATTTCTAGTACAGTATTGAATAATATGGGTGATAGTGGGCATCCTTGCTTCACCTCTGATATTATCAGGAAGACTTCTAGCTTATCTCCATTACAGATGATATTTAATCTTGGTTTTAGATGTTGCTACCTACCCTTTTAAGAGAAGCTCCATTTATGCCTATGCTTTCTGGCATTCTTAAAAGGAATGGGTGTTCTATTTTTGTCAAAAGATTTTCCTGCATTTGCCAAAATACTTATAATAACTTTTGTTATTTTGTTATTAATATGGTCAATTATGTTTATAGTTTCCTAAAATTGAACCAACCCTACTTCATTGGTAGAAATCCAACAGCAGCAGTAGCAGCTTCGCAATCAAATAATAGCTAGCATTTACATAGCACCTACTATGTGCCAGTCGCTGTGCTAAGCACTTTACAAATATATCTCATTCAGATCCTCACAAAAACCCTGGGAGGTAGGTGCTATTATTATTCCTATTTTACAGTTGAAGAAACTGAGGCAAATGGGGGTTAAATGACTAACCCAAGACCACCCAGCTAGTAAGTATCTGAAGCTAGATTTGAATTCAGGTCTTACTTACCCCAGGCTCAGAGTTCTAGCCGCTGTGCCGCCTAGCTGCCTGTCATACTGTATAATCTTTGTGACGTATTGCTGTGGTTTCCATGTTAGTATTGTATTTAACATTTTTGCATCAATATAATTAAAGAAATTGCTTTATAGTTTTCTTTCTCTGTTTTGACTCTCCCTGGTTTGGAAGGAATTTGGTAGGACCTTTCCTTTACCTATTTTTTCTAACAGGTTATATAGTATTAGAATTAACTGTTCTTTAAATGTTTTGTAGAATTTGCTTGCAAATCCATCTGGTCTCGTTTTTTTTTTCTTTGAGAGTTCATTCATTGGTTTTCTAAGATAGACCGTTCTACCATTATAGGCCACTGCCCTTGCAGGGTCTTGGCTATTAACGAGATTCACTCCTAAGGACAACCTAGCCCTGACACAGAGTTTCAGAATAGGAGTCCACTCTCCAGAGGCCAGGGAAAACCCTGCCCAGAACCCTTGGCAGGGCATTCATGTTATGCAAAAAGGGAAATGGGGTATGCCCAGCTTTAGCAATGACACCCTTCAGAGACTGTGGGCTCACCAGACAAGGCACCAAAAGTGAGGGGCCCGCTCAACGTGCTGGCATGGTCTGATCTTTAAGGATGGTGACCACATAGCCTCTGCCTACGGGTTCTTACAGGGTTTGTTGTCAGTTGTGTGTGAGGGCACTTCTCTCTTTGCCTGCTCCCTTATACTCTGCAGAGGGTTAGCCCCACTTCTTCATCTTTTAAGGATGACTTTTGTGGGCCCAGAATCATCAGCTGCTCTCTTGGCAGTCAGATTATTCGTGAAGCTTCATGACTGGTCCATGCTCAATGGCACATCCTTTGAGTTTTGGCATCCCTGACATTGACGGTAAGAAATTAAGGAGGAGAACTTTTCCAATTCTCAAGCGCTTTCATTCTGTGACTTTTGGGGCTGCTTCTGGGAAATGAAAATGATTGCTTGTTAAAATTAATCAAGCAGATTGAGACAGTACTATCCTTAAGGGTCTATTTAAAGTACAGATTGTTTCTTGTTGAAGCTATTTCTCTCATTTTGATAGAGAA